GGGGGGGGGGGGGGGGGGGTTATAGGGAGGGTTCTAAAGATATAGAGTATTTTGGGAAGGAGCAACATTTTGAACGCTGCTACTCCTCTGCCGCATACTGTGAGATAGAATTTAGAAAGTGAGGCTAGTTCTTTGGGTATGGATTGAAGGAGTGGCTTGTAGTTATATTCGTATATTTTTAATGACGACATTGGGAGATGTATACGTAGATAAGGAATACATGTGTCCGCCCATGGATAAGGGAATGTAGATTGTAAAGTTAGTTTCAGAGAGGGGGGTATGTTGAGGCCTAGGATTTGGGATTTTGTGTAATTAACTTTGTAGTAGGAGACTTTGCTGAATTGGTCTAGGAGATGTTGTACAGCAGGGAGAGAACATACTGGATGTGAGAGGATAAGAACTATATCGTCTGCGAAGAGACCTATCTTGTTGTTGGTAGGACCTACTGCAACACCATGGATGTGGGGATGTGAGCGCACAAGGGTTGCAAGCGGTTCCATTATGAGGACGAATATTATGGGTGAAAGGGGGCAACCTTGTCGAGTGCCATTTGAAATTAATAGGTCGTTTGAGAGGAAACCTGAGGTGAGTACCTTCACACTAGGCGTGGAGTATAAAGCTAAAATAGCATTCAGTATGGGACCTATAAAGCCAAACTTCATTAAAACCGATTTCAGGAAGTTCCAATGTATTCTGTCGAATGCTTTTTCGTCGTCTAGGGAGAGGAAGAGGGAGGGAACTTTGTTGAGTTCTGTGTGTTTTAAGACATTTAGTAAACGTCTGGTGCCGTCAGGGGCCTGCCGTCCGTGCACAAAGCCGTGCTGGGGAGCAAGTGTATGTTTAAAGCTTTTATAGTATTCATTAGGGTAACCATCAGGGCCAGGAGATTTATGTGAGGGAAGAGACTCAATGACTTGGGTTATTTCAAGGGTTGTAAAAGGGGCGGATAAGTCTGACACCTGCTGTGACGTGAGAGTGGGAAGGTGGATGGAGGTAAGAAATGCATTAATCTGTTCAGAAGTGGGTTGATGAGTAGTGGGATTTTCGTGTAGGTTATATAGGGAATGGTAGTACTGTTGGAAGATGTCAGCCATTTGTTGAGGGTGAGTGGTTTTGTTCCCTGAGGTTGGATCAGTGAGGTGAGACAGTCTGGAGTTGTATGAGCGGGTGGTTAATGTTTTAACGGTTAAAATTTCTTGTTGCTTCCATCTTCTTAAAAATGATATGAGGGCCTGTAAGAGGTGGGGGGTTTTGTCAATTGAGAGGTGGTTTGTCCATTGTATGTTAATGAAGCTTATCAGATAAACACAATTCTCAAATTTCAGTCCCAAGACCTTCCATTGGGACAGACCACAGTGAAAGGGCTAAGAAAAACTAGGAATCAGCCAAAATGGAAATACACTTTTAAGTGTGTCTGAAGCCATTGTTTAGCTTTAGCTAGGTTAGGGGAAGGGTTAGATACCCTGACCCTGTCATGATTATTTATTTTTCCCTAATAAGGAGATACACCCTCTCTATTTGTGCTCGTGACTGAAAGGGAGGTAAAGTCACACATTTTGAGTTGTCAAAGGAACATTATGGAGGGGAAATATTTCAATGAGGATGTTTGACTGTCGTCTAAGAGAGGATTTCCCTTACTCGCACTTCTTGTTGTGTCTTTGAGACAGTAAGGAAAATCTTCCTAATGGGACAAAAAAAAATCCAAAAAGCTACACAGATTTTAACCATTCCCCACTCTAGTAGATAGACAACTAGAACCATAAAAACCTCCCTTTAGAAGGAAAGAGGCAAGAGTTCCCAACCAGATCTATATCCCATATACAGAGCATTAGTGTACATAGATAGGTACTTTTTTAGATGTTTAGTTGGCTGCAAATAAGTCAAATAAAATCTCACACTTATTGCCAGCTGTTGAAGACATAACACCTAAAAGATGCCCAGTAGATAGATCACATGCTTGTTCAGGGTGTTATGATATCATAAATCCCTATTATTAAGCCCTCAACCAGGGTGAAATGTGCCATAGAGGGGTTTTGTTGGTCTGGAGTGATTTTAAATTGTAAGCCTCACTAATGGAATGAAAAAGAGACTCTGGAGGAGTGTGACCTAAATATTTGCCATTTATTTACTATGGGAAGAGATTGATCATGTTGCTGGTGTGAGCACCCACAGCTAGTGTGTGCTATATAATCTCTGCCTGTGATGCTATCACTTTAGCCATCAACATAATTATCCTTTCTATCTTATTGAAGATGATAGTAACACTAATGGTAACACTAAAAACAAAAGCCTAATAATGTTTACATAGAATATTGAAACTTGTATATTTACCTGTCCAGGAGTAACAAGTGGAGGAGAAATAAAACCAATATAGAACTGGAAGGTTTTATGGGCACCATATTGAAGTCTTTCATTTGTACATTGTAAATGTTATTGGTTAAGGGTTATGGAATCATGAGATCAAGATTTTGCAAATTTGAGTTTCACAGTTATCTATCTCTAGTTTACTATGGATAGATCCAGAAAGAGTTTGAAGGCAATCCAATTGCACATATATATAAAACTTAATTAAGAGGCATCCAGTCTGCTCTGCACAGTAAAGCCAAATCTTGCCATTTAAGTTAAACTGTGTTGTGACTGTAAGCTTTCCACATAGTAATTTGCTTTTACGTTTCTTAAATCAATATAAAATAACCCACTCTTTGTGCTGAGATGTGTTTTTGGTAATGAAAAAAGTAATTCAACTCCATGTCAAGTAGGTCAGACATTAGGAGAATATTCCTAGAGCGTATTTCATTACTTTTATAAGGTCCCTTGCTTATTTATGACTTTCAGACTTATTTGGGCCACAAGGTCCCAGCTCAGATCTGAGTCTCTTTGGTTATTAATGTCATTAAATTATGTGCACTTGCCCTGCTAGTCCTGATAAAAAGATTAAGTTATCAAATTCCTGCACTTTTTTTTGTCTCTTGGGTTTTGTATAATTTATATTTTTACCTACACTTTATTATGAGTACTTACTTTTTTGTTTTTAAATGCATCTAGTAAAGTATATTTTTTTCAATTGAATTAGCAGGTTGTGGACCTTTGCCTTTCTATTATCAACAAAATCACTTGTCTAGATACTATTAATATTGTATTGTTATAAGAGTGTGAACCTCCAACAGTGTAATTACATAATTGTGTTAATATACTGCATTATAATCAGCGCACAAAGTTTTATAACCATTTATGTGACTCTTAACTTCTTGTACATGATCATTTCCTAAATATCTATTTAAAAAGGTATTACAGTATTATACATTTATTTTTTTTTTAAATATACTTTTTTGCATTTTTTGTTTCAAATATTGCAGGTTACTTTTGAATACTTCACATGTCACATGATGCTATTTATCTCAGTCTATGCTTACATTACTTTCCTTGAAATATCTATTTGGGGATAAATAGATTTCTACCCTTAGTCCCACTAAACAGATGGAGAGTCCTTTGGGCCCCTATGCAATTTAAAGTGACCCACAGGATCACTTGTATAGAATACATACCTTTCTAGTGGTCCTTATGTTGAAATGCTGACACTTTACTGCTCCCATGCCACTGGGTGGGTCAAAGACCTGCTACACCCTGTGGACACAGTGGTTCCTTACGCTGGCTAATAAGTCCTTCAGTTATGTACAAGCTGGTGGTAAGAGCCACAGCATGTGGAGGGGGAGAAGATATTCCACCAATAAATGAAAAAGAGGACCAACAGACCATTTTACAAAGTCACACATCTAAAATTTAATAGTAGAGCCTACTAATGTACTACTAATGTAGTTGAATTTGTCTATTACATTCTCCAGAATATAGAAAAGGAAAATATCCAGCATGGTCAGTAAAACCATGTGTAGTGACCATGCCTGAATCAGATCAGAAACTTCAACACATGGAGGTCAAAGAAAATGTGTGATTCAGCTTTTCAGTTTCTGCCATAACTATTAATATCAATTTTAAATGGACTGGGCTTCTAAAAGTGTAAGAACATTTTTTTCACAGCTCACAAAAAAATACACATTTTAAGCTAACAAGTAATTATGTTCACAACTCCATGTAAATAGTAGAGAATCAATTTAACACATTGCAGATATGTCGGCTTATTGTTATTTTTGGAGCATTATCTAAATGTCCTTATTTCTGATCTGCCCATCCAGACGTTCATGTGTTTTTCAGAACTAAAACACATCTCTATTCAGATCAGTAAATGGAGACCTGCTTTTCAAATTAAAAAGGAACAATTGTGTACATTTGTTTTTGATGTGCGATTGATGATCTGCACTTTTGATGTATTTGAATGGAATATTATAAGTGACCCTGTATGACTTCTCTTGATGTTTATGAAAATCATTTCCTATAGAGGAGTACAATGCATGTTTGCAACATACCTCCAAGTCAAATATCCACCACCTTTTAAAAAATTAATGTTTTAACCATAAATGTATGAAACCACATCAAAATTATTATTATATTACTCTTTAAGAGGCAGCTTTTCAGTGAATGTGCATCTGTTACATAGCCATTTATCACTTGTCAGGAGGCTGATTGGTCCGTAAAATGTAGCATAAAAAAAAATAAGGCAGTTTTAATGCTAAATCTAACAAGAATAGCAAAAATCACTCTCCAGCTTCTTATAACACTTATAAGACCTATATTATCCTTATAAGATCAACATGACCCAAGTCAAAGGTATAGTGTAAAAAAAGTTTTTGCCATAGTTTGTGAGTCATAGGGGATTTACTAAAGGCATAAAACTTGTTCACTTTGCAAATGTTATGTTCCCTTAGCTTATTAAATAAGGTGAAGCTATGTCCACTTTTAATACTCAATCATGTAGAAGAGACTTTTTTAAATAAAGTTTTTTTCTGGCACTTTTGGCTGATGAAAGTGAGCATACTCCAAACTTATTCACTAAGCTAATTCAACAGCATCTCCGCCTCTCCATGTGTTTATTCAGCATATCTCTAATGTGTGTTTTCTATTTATTCTCTTCCTCTCATGCAATCATTTCCTTGAAACCAGTTTCTGCTGTGAGGAATAAAGGCAAAGGTAAGTTTTATTGTTGCATTCAGACTCGTGTATGAGTAGTAACAACCCCACTAGTTTTCCAGTGATTAGGCCATTGTAGTTGTGTTTGTTAAAGTCATTGTGTACACAGTGTTGACTTGATTGATGCTTGTGCAATATTTGTGGTGGAGCTTAGAAGCATCAAATATCTATTAAGTGTTCTATGATTACCAAAAGCTATGCATATGCTGGTTTGTATACATTTGACTGTCCTCTTCTAATTATTGTATTATCAATATCATTTTGGTTGCTGCAATAGAATTTATATAACAAGAAAATGTTTTAAGGTTTATCCAGTACATACTAGGTGTATCCTACCAAAAGTGTAAAAATTGCAGCACACAACAGTGTTGCAGCCTGCTACCAAATGCAGCAAAATGTAAAGTGTGTGTTACTATTTGTCTGAATGGACTACATTTTCCGCACACAAGAAAGCATGTGGTATGACAGGGCCTTACTAGCATTTGTATACAGTTCTGCCTTTTTTTGGATTCTAAACAACAATACCATTTTCAGCTCAAAAACTTAACATTATGGGTCCAATCCTCCTCTGGGTAAATGATGGGCCCATATGTAGCTTGCATTACTGAATGCAGATTCTATTTTGAATCCATTTCAATCTGCTAAATTTTCCAAACTTCATCTTATTCCCCCTTACCCCTCTATTAAAGCCGCCATAAAGATTTGGATAAAATTTCACCTGACTTCCTCTCTTTCTCAATCTACCCATGCATATATCCCTCCCTCAATATCTTGAAACATATTATACCACACATCACATTATCTAACTGGATCCACCTAGTTAGTATTTATGTTTCAAACTCTATGAAAATACCTAATTGAAATCCCTGGCTCAATTATCCTCTCAATATAAGATTCCGCTGACTGAATTCCACCGATATTATCAAATTAAACATCTTTTAACGAGTACTCCGATTCCCACAGATCATACACATTGACTTTAAGGTATATCAATTTTCATTAAATCCTTCTTCAACTAAGAAAGGTATAGCATTATTCTATAATGACTTAGGAAACACAAGCCACTTCTCAAAATCCTCTCATATGCTTAAATGGGAGCGTGAGTTGGGAACCTCTTTTTCTGACTCTCAATAGTGAAAAGCTATACAGATCTCATATTGCACCACACATAGAGCTTCTCATTGTGAATCCATTCATAAGTTAGTTAACAGGGGGTATTATACACCCTAAAACATTGGCAAACTTCTCCAATGCAAATTCCCCATTGTTGGCAAATATATGGTGAAGTGGGGTCTCTAGTTCATATTTTCTGGCAATGCAAATCATTATGCTCTTTTTGGAAATAGATATTCCAGCTCATTTCCCAATTTACATCATACACTACTTCCCCCAATGTCCATTTAGCGCTCCTCCATATAGACTTAGATGCATTCCCTCCCTCTTCTAGATCTATAATCACGCACATATTACATGCGGCCAAGATACTAATTGCCTGAAAATGGCTCTCTTCATCTCCTGCCAATTTATCCAAAGTTATCCAATTATCCGCTTGCCGTCCTCCCGTTGTGAGAAAATGGACGGACGGCAAAGTCCCATCGGCGGGTTGCCGTAATTAGACAGCTTTTTTTTCTGCTAACACACGTCCCTTAGCGCGCGTGCACAGGCAGAAAAAACCTGTCCGATCTGCACAGCTGTTGTTGGCTGTTTGACATACACATGATCTGCGGCTCTATAACCGCTGATCGCTTGTATGTTGTGGCTGCTCGCCCCCTCCCACTCCTGCAGTGCCGAACGCATATGCATCGGCTCGGCTGAGCCGTGCTGAAAGCCGAAGCTGGCCGAGCGGCCGTCCTTTGGCCGGCCGACAGCCAGCTTCTGACAGCTCACTTTCAGAGAAATCAGCGTCCCTGGTTACCTGCTAACCAGGGACACTGATCTCCAAACAGCAAACTCTCCCTGGCGGCCCGGGAGTCTCGTGCTTCCGGCCGCCAAGGAGAGAAACACTGCTGTGTCTTTTTTTCTTTATTCTGACACGAGCGATGTCAGAATAGAAAAAAAAATAATTTTCGTATTGAAAAGCATTGGGACATTACTATTGGCTATTTCAATTTGCAATAGCCAATAGTAAACTAGCATTGTACCCACCCTCTGCTGCAGTTCCCCATCAGGTCCATCAGCAGAAGGCGGGAATTGATATTCCATGGATTTTTGTGCAACACAAAATTGTGTTTTGATAGAAACTAATCTTAATAGACATTATTGCATGGTGAAATTAGAGGCAAAATTCCGGTAAAGTTCAAATCTATAATTTGACATAAAAATCAGTTTTGCCAAAATCACTCCCTTACATACTGTATATTATAGGCTCACAGTGGTTGAGGCACTCTCAGGACTCAGGGAACAAGATAAATAGTACAATCTACTACATATTCATAGCATTGACCCTGCTGCAGACCACCTTTATAAAAAAAAAACATACACACACAGATATCTATATAGATATATATCTATATAGATATATATAGATATATATCTATATAGATATATA